TCGAAAGAACACATTAGGCAGCCCAACTTGGGCTGACCCCATACACAGCCCCAAGAGCAAAGACGAGAGCGCCCACGAAGCACAGAATCCGCACGTCAGGCGAACGACAGGGGAGAGGCGGAACCAAAGAGCCAGAACCTAATCCTGCAAGCACAAGGAGGCGAGCACAAAACACCCTCGACACAGGGAAACGTACCACCGAACAGGCACCCCACCGTTGCACCGTGGAACATGGTGGAGGCGGGGCCCCGAACTCAAGCGAACAACAGCAGAATACAGTACATTTATACATTTGTATACTAGTATATTTTGGTAGCAGTCTTTCCTGTAGACATATATTATTAAATATGACCGAAAAAGTAAGATTAATAATTCTAACACGAATTTTCTCAATCTTTCATACATTTCTTTTCACTGTTGGAGGTAAATCAAAAATCAATTCTCCAAAATTCATTTTTATTTCTAGTCTGACGCGACACGAGCGCGTTTCGTAAAACTTATTACATTTTCAAAGACTTTAGTTTACAAATACACAACTGAATAGAACTTGCGCATCTCCGATTTTATATCTACATTTTAGTGAGGTGGCATTAATAGGGTATTAATTTCATCAACACAAGACAGAACACGAAACAATGGGTATTGAATAGAAGTGTTTGTAGAAAGCCTATTGGTCCATATTTCTTGATGCTTCTATATTGGAGCGGAGTCTAGAGGTGGGTAGAATATAGTTGTGCATTAATTGGCTGTTGATTGCTGGTGTTGACTTCTTGATGTGTAGTGCCTCGCAAACGTCAAGCCGCCTGCTATCGCTGTATCTATCGATGATTTCTGTGTTGTTTACTAGGATTTCTCTGGCGATGGTTTGGTTGTGGGAAGAGATTATATGTTCCTTAATGGAGCCCTGTTGCTTATGCATCGTTAAACGCCTAGAAAGAGATGTTGTTGTCTTGCCTATATACTGGGTTTTTTGGAGCTTACAGTCCCCAAGAGGGCATTTGAAGGCATAGACGACGTTAGTCTCTTTTAAAGCGTTCTGTTTTGTGTCTGGAGAGTTTCTCATGAGTAGGCTGGCCGTTTTTCTGGTTTTATAGTAAATCGTCAGTTGTATCCTCTGATTTTTGTCTGTAGGGATAACGTTTCTATTAACAATATCTTTCAGGACCCTTTCCTCCGTTTTATGAGCTGTGGAAAAGAAGTTCCTGTAAAATAGTCTAATAGGGGGTATAGGTGTTGTGTTAGTTGTCTCTTCAGAGGTTGCATGGCGTTTCACTTTCCTTCTTATGATGTCTTCGACGAAACCATTGGAGAAGCCGTTGTTGACTAGGACCTGCCTTACCCTACAGAGTTCTTCGTCGACTTGCTTCCATTCTGAGCTGTGGCTGAGAGCACGGTCGACATATGCATTAACAACACTCCTTTTGTACCTGTCTGGGCAGTCGCTGTTGGCATTTAGGCACATTCCTATGTTCGTTTCCTTAGTGTAGACTGCAGTGTGGAAACCTCCGCTCTTTTCCATGACTGTTACATCTAGAAAGGGCAGCTTCCCATCCTTTTCCATCTCGTAAGTGAAACTCAGCACGGAACTCTGCTCAAATGCCTCCTTCAGCTCCTGCAGATGTCTGACATCAGGTACCCGTGTGAAAATGTCGTCAACATACCTGCAGTATATGGCCGGTTTCAAGTTCATGTCGACTAAGACTTTTTGCTCGATATTACCCATGTAGAAGTTTGCAAACAGGACACCTAGGGGAGAACCCATGGCGACCCCATCTACTTGCTTATACATGTGCCCATCCGGGCTCAAGAAGGGTGCCTCTTTAGTACAAGCTTGGAGTAGTTTCCTCAGAATATTTTCTGGTATGTCAAGAGGAGTACAGGCTGGATCACGATACACTCTGTCGGCTATCATCCCGATTGTCTCGTCCACAGGTACGTTGGTAAACAGCGATTCTACGTCCAACGAGGCTCTTATCCCTGTGGCCCGTGTGCCCCGCAGTAAGTCAACAAATTCCTTTGGAGACTTCAGGCTGAAGGCGCAGGGAACATAAGGAGTCAGCAGGCCGTTGAGTCGCTTCGCCAGTCTGTACGTGGGTGTGGGTATCTGGCTAATGATTGGCCGAAGTGGGTTTCCAGGCTTGTGTGTCTTGACATTTCCATACGCATATCCAGGTTTATATTCCCCAATGATCTTTGGCAGGTGGAGTCCGGATTTCTTGGCGTTCACAGTTTCGATCAGTTTGTTGACCTTTGCTTTTAATTCGGCTGTAGTGTCCTTCGTTACCCTTTGGAACTTAGTTTGGTCAGAGAGTATAATGTTCATTTTCGCCAGATATTCGTCTTTTTTAAGAATGACATATATTGGCGACTTGTCACCTCTCCTGACAACTATCTCCTTGTTCTCACGAAGGCTTTTAGCTGCCGCTTTGAGCTCGGGGGACAGTATGGTGCTTCTGTAATTGCCTCGATTCTTTCCTCCTCCTGCAATAAGTTCTGCTTGTAAGGTATCTTTGGTAGTGACCTTCTTTTGTGTCTCGAGGTCGAATATGTCGTCCAACAGAATTTCCAACTCTACTTTCCGGGCCATCTCACTCGGTCTGGACATAACATGACAGTTTACTAGTCAACAACGGCTTCTCCAATGGTTTCGTTGAAGACATCATAAGAAGGAAAGTGAAACGCCATGCAACCTCTGAAGAGACAACTAACACAACACCTATACCCCCATTAGACTATTTTACAGGAACTTCTTTTCCACAGCTCATAAAACGGAGGAAAGGGTCCTGAAAGATATTGTTAATAGAAACGTTATCCCTACAGACAAAAATCAGAGGATACAACTGACGATTTACTATAAAACCAGAAAAACGGCCAGCCTACTCATGAGAAACTCTCCAGACACAAAACAGAACGCTTTAAAAGAGACTAACGTCGTCTATGCCTTCAAATGCCCTCTTGGGGACTGTAAGCTCCAAAAAAACCAGTATATAGGCAAGACAACATCTCTTTCTAGGCGTTTAACGATGCATAAGCAACAGGGCTCCATTAAGGAACATATAATCTCTTCCCACAACCAAACCATCGCCAGAGAAATCCTAGTAAACAACACAGAAATCATCGATAGATACAGCGATAGCAGGCGGCTTGACGTTTGCGAGGCACTACACATCAAGAAGTCAACACCAGCAATCAACAGCCAATTAATGCACAACTATATTCTACCCACCTCAAGACTCCGCTCCAATATAGAAGCATCAAGAAATATGGACCAATAGGCTTTCTACAAACACTTCTATTCAATACCCATTGTTTCGTGTTCTGTCTTGTGTTAATGAAATTAATACCCTATTAATGCCACCTCTTGTTCTGTCTTGTGTTGATGAAATTAATACCCTATTAATGCCACCTCACCCCATCCACCTCACTAAAATGTAGATATAAAATCGGAGATGCGCAAGTTCTATTCAGTTGTGTATTTGTAAACTAAAGTCTTTGAAAATGTAATAAGTTTTACGAAACGCGCTCGTGTCGCGTCAGACTAGAAATAAAAATGAATTTTGGAGAATTGATTTTTGATTTACCTCCAACAGTGAAAAGAAATGTACGAAAGATTGAGAAAATTCGTGTTAGAATTATTAATCTTACTTTTTCGGTCATATTTAATAATATATGTCTACATTTGTATACATATATATACATCTGTATACATATATACAGCAGAATACATTTACCGGAAATTATGGCCACTCTTGGGATATAAAATTAAAATAATGATTGAACTGTAATTTTTAACATTGCAGAGGACAATAGGTACAGTATATTATCCATTTTACCAAGTTTAATAAAACCAGTGTATAAATACAGTGATATTTATTGATAAAGTTAACTGATATTATATCACATTTTGTTCAATAGTTTGCCAGGATGTCCACATTAAACACCGACAACCACAGCATGACCAGAGATGAATGATTTTTTTCACATGGAAGTATTAAAACAGCATATAATTAACTTTCTCTAAAAATAAGGAAACAGTACAAGGCTCAAATTAATACAAATTATTATTTTGTTGGCAGGAAATGATTAAACAGGTCTGACATTATAGAAGTGGATGAAATGTCACTTTTATAACCCTGAACAAACAGTGCAGGCAACCAATCCTTTCATTTATGGTAGTGTGTGCACCTTCTTGTATAGATTTGATCACATCACGAGAACTGACCCAGACAAGGTCACTTACCATTCCTTGCATGTATTCCCACGCCTTCATATGTAACAAAATCATCAGAAAAGTTTAGACAAAGTTTGAGACGCGTAGATCAAAATAATACAAACTTTAAACACAATATAAGAAATCATAGATTAGTTTCACAGGATTAAGGTGTCCCCATAATATTTTCTATACTGGTCAACAGAATACTATACAGAAATAACAATATATCTATGTGTACTATATTAGTTTAGTCCTGTTAAAAAACTAAATCTTTGTAGTCTTAGAGGAGTTAAACAATTATGGATAATTACATACATTTTTGATAAAACAGTTCAGGTCTTAGATCAACGCCATAATTTTACAATTCTTAAAATACAAGTGTTTATATCTTCAATTATAACCACATTTCAATTTTGTCAATTGTCTAATTACCAATCTCTTGTAATAACTAAATAATACTAAGATCATTAAATGGAGTTTGTGTCGAAACCATGGCCAAGCACCTTAAAAACCCAAGTGATATGAATCTCGCCATCATTTACGGAAAAAATATTTCATGGCAATGTCTTTATACAAGAGAAATGAATCAGTATGCTGAGCCAAAGTGGCATTATCCACCTTAAGAATTCACATTCTGGGGCCAGATTCACGAAACAGTTACGCAAGTACTTATAATTGTGTACATCTTTTCTCAATCTTTGACGGCTTTGGTTACATTTATTAAACAGTTCACAAGCATGAAAGCATCCCCAATCAACTGCTGTTATTGTTATTAACAGCTTCCTGGTGCTTCAGAGCTCATTAACTGTTTAATACTAGTAATTATAAAGAGAGCCGCCAAAGATTGAGAAAAGAATGTACAGGTTCGTAAGTGCTTGTGTAACTACAGTACTTCGTGAATCTGGCCCCTGACCTTCAGCACAGTGCTTGTTGAGAGTGACAAGTGCTCACTTTAAAGCAGTATATCTTTATTGTGAATGGAAAAAGTACAAATCCAGTGACCATATTATTACATCAGGATGGGCTCTTTTCTGAAATATGCACAAAGATCTGCAGAATATGAAAAGGAATGAAAGTGATGGCTTCAATATATTTAAGGGCAGATACATGTGAATTAAGCATCTAAATTAGCTGAAACAAGTGACAAATGATGAAAAAGATTATCACCACAATCCTGAAAATGCAAGAAATGCTTAAGAAGATGGGTGACTTAGCTGAGGCAGGAGACAACTAAGAAATATTCAGTGGCATTGATGAGCATCCCCGTGTCTGGGAAAAGGTACAATGTAAATTGGTAAACAAAACCCATCCTCGCACGCAACAGATCCAATCTTCGGCATTATTACATCAATAAGGTATATCAGATGGTTACACAAAGCTTCCACATTGGTCACTTGGACTGAGGGGAAGATTGAGCAGACTCACGTGTTGCGAATTTTGCCAGGCACATAGTTTTTGTCAATGACTGGCTCTTGAATGAACATATGTAGGCACTTTTCATTCTGGGCAAGAGGGTGTCCTGCTATTCTGAAAGGCACACAGGAAGGGTGAGGTTAGTAAAGGTCATTCACAACTATTGCACGACATTCTTTGTAATTGTTAACGTTTAATTTACAAAGTCAAAAATGCAGTAACACAAACAGTTTTGTATAACTGGATTACACCCACAACAATCTCCTCGGGCACAATTCTGCATTAAGTTAGGTAATATGATTATCCAAAAACAATACAGAACAACTAAATTCAGGTTAGTCATGTATTTAGTACAGTATGTGGCGACCATACCACTAGGACCTGGTTGTGGGGTTAGTCATGTATTTAGTACAGTATGTGGCCAGCCATACCACTAGGACCTGGTTGTGGGGTTAGTCATGTATTTAGTACAGTATATGGCCAGCCATACCACTAGGACCTGGTTGTGGGGTTAGTCATGTATTTAGTACAGTATGTGGCCAGCCATACCACTAGGACCTGGTTGTGGGGTTAGTCATGTATTTAGTACAGTATGTGGCCAGCCATACCACTAGGACCTGGTTGTGGGGTTAGTCATGTATTTAGTACAGTATGTGGCCAGCCATACCACTAGGACCTGGTTGTGGGGTTAGTCATGTATTTAGTACAGTATGTGGCCAGCCATACCACTAGGACCTGGTTGTGGGGTTAGTCATGTATTTAGTACAGTATGTGGCCAGCCATACCACTAGGACCTGGTTGTGGGGTTAGTCATGTATTTAGTACAGTATATGGCGACCATACCACTAGGACCTGGTTGTGGGGTTAGTCATGTATTTAGTACAGTATATGGCCAGCCATACCACTAGGACCTGGTTGTGGGGTTAGTCATGTATTTAGTACAGTATATGGCCAGCCATACCACTAGGACCTGGTTGTGGGGTTAGTCATGTATTTAGTACAGTATATGGCCAGCCATACCACTAGGACCTGGTTGTGGGGTTAGTCATGTATTTAGTACAGTATATGGCCAGCCATACCACTAGGACCTGGTTGTGGGGTTAGTCATGTATTTAGTACAGTATATGGCCAGCCATACCACTAGGACCTGGTTGTGGGGTTAGTCATGTATTTAGTACAGTATATGGCCAGCCATACCACTAGGACCTGGTTGTGGGGTTAGTCATGTATTTAGTACAGTATATGGCCAGCCATACCACTAGGACCTGGTTGTGGGGTTAGTCATGTATTTAGTACAGTATATGGCCAGCCATACCACTAGGACCTGGTTGTGGGGTTAGTCATGTATTTAGTACAGTATATGGCCAGCCATACCACTAGGACCTGGTTGTGGGGTTAGTCATGTATTTAGTACAGTATATGGCCAGCCATACCACTAGGACCTGGTTGTGGGGTTAGTCATGTATTTAGTACAGTATATGGCCAGCCATACCACTAGGACCTGGTTGTGGGGTTAGTCATGTATTTAGTACAGTATATGGCCAGCCATACCACTAGGACCTGGTTGTGGCTCACGGCTTGTTTCTCTCATTAAGAATCTGTGTATAGATACTTGTTTTTCCTTATGTTTTAACACTTGTCAGTAGTGAGACATCATATTGTCTCGCTATGAATGATCTCTTGTTCTTCCTCTGTCGTCATCCTCACAATTATTTTCTTGGGTTCAACTTTACCACCGACTTTCCTGGCACCCATGGCGTGATATAATAATAAGAGCGCTACTGTTCAGAAATAAAAAAACCAGCGCTGGATGTAATGAAACGCTATTTCCTGGACGGGACCCGGAGGCTCCCTGGAACTATCCAGGCTAATATGGATATACTATATTAGACTTTGGCCTCAGTCAATGCGAATGGAGTTCATAGGCCTGCCGGGGACCACAAGCCAGAACCTGTCCCCCTCAGAGAGACACGAGAAACATTGGCCTATAGAATTGCACATGTGGTTATGGGGCATTCTCCCGAGACAGATGGATGCCTACTACTATGTCTGCCATCGACCGGGTCCTAGCATCCAGAAAGGTAAGCATCCCAAAACAATCCCCTATTCTGGTTGAAACTACTACTGAAAGTCAAACGAGTGGACAGAACTCCTCAAATTAAAACGAACAAACTAGTATGTCGTCACCACATGCCGCGCCGCCGTCTGCGCAGCTCCCCTCTCCCGGGAGGGAAAAGGGGGATCACCAGACCCCTCACGTCGACTACCCATACCTTCAGTTCTGAGGCTGGATGTCAAAACACACGGAAAACTGCCAATCGGAGGGAGGGATGCCGGGGAGCCTCTGGGTATCATCCAGAAAATGGCGTTTCATTACATTCAACGCTGGTTTTGTGGGGGAAGCCCCTTCAGCTCCCTGGAACTATATCATCAAAGAAAAGTAAATGAGGGATGCACCCGGGATTTGTACGCCACTCGCAACTCAAAACGAAAGCAAGACAACCAACGGCATCGAAGGCCCCAGCAAATGACCCGGGAACTCTAACCCAGGCACAAGGAAAAAAGGGGCACCAGGGAAACCCAAAGTGCGACCCCAGACACACAAGCCGAGGCACACAAACAACGGCAGAGAACCACAACCGGACAACACAAGATGCACCCCCCCTGGCTTAATCAAGCATCAACAACCCAAGAACCCCTCCGGAAAGCAGAAATCACATTCTTCGCAGAAAAGGAGATGGCTGCAAACAAACCAAACTAAACACCAGAACCAAAAGAGCAGAAACCCCTGTGTCAGAGGAGAGCATGAAGCTCCCCGACCTAATCCCCAGAGGCCAGTGCCAACAGGAAAAAAGAACTGTAGAGCAACAATCCTGAACCAAAGGGGTCACCACAAATCGAGGGGGAGAGAGATAAGAGAGCACCTGTCCAATGACCAGAATGGCGCATGAGCAGGCTGGAGGTGAAACAGCTTGCGAAACGCCGTAGAAGGAACATCGATGACAAAAGCAAGCTGCAGCAGCTCCGCCAGTGCCGCACGACACGAGGCAACAGTATGCGGCAGAAGACGAGGCAGAAGATGAAGGTACTGAAACAACTACGAAAGAAAGGACAAGACAACCGCAACAGAAAGCGGAGTACACCTATAGAGATAAAAAGAACGGAAGGACCGCCAGGACTCATACTGCGGCCAAGACGAAGCATGAAGGTGGGGACACCATTAACAAAACCACCTATCATCATACAGATGGTGATAGACTCGAGTCGAAAATATCAAGACACGAAGACTCGAGGAGAAGAACGAACCAGCCATGTAACGGACCGCACCGATCTGCTGAAGAGGCGGAGCCGTGGGAAAACCCCTGGGTACAGACACCGAGCAAGCAGCGCCTGAAACCAATGATGGGCAAAGAAGACAACACTTCCCAGGTAAGTCTCCAAACGAGATAGGAGCAACAGCTGAACCAGGGAAAGAGGCACAGGTAACCCCCATCTCGACCAGTCTTGCCAAACCTTGAGAACTCAGCAGACAAGTCACCCGAAGCGACCAGCCCCAAAGAGTCAAGGACCTGACGGCAGAGGTCAGGCTCCCACACAACCCTTGAGCAACCGCTGAGTGACCCAGGAGCCCCCAAGAACAAGCAAAGGCGGGACCGCAGCCGAAGCAGTGACTCCAGAGGAAGAGACAAGGAAGCGGTTCGAGAGTCCCACACAAGACCCAGCCAAGTCCGAACCTGAGAGGGAACCAGGTGGAACTTCCACCAGTTCACCAGGAACACGAACCCGGTAAGCTGAGAAAGAACCAAAATCCTGGCGAGCAGGCACACTGACTGACTGGAAGCCCACACCAGCCAGTCATCAAGGTAGGTCAGCACCTGAAGACCTAAGAAACGCAGACGGGCCACCACGACCAGGGTGAGGCATGTGAACACGTGAGGTGCCAGGGTCAACCTGAATGGGAGACAACAAAAGCAGTAACTGAGATGCCCCACAACAAAACCGAGCCAATCCCCGGACCCCGGATGAATAGGGACATGTCAACAAGCGTCCCAGAGGTCCAGGGACACCATCCAAGTGCCCGGCTCCAACAGAAGCTGGACCTGGGACAGAGTAGTCATCCGAAAAAAGGGGCAATAGACCTAGGTGTTTAGACGGGACAAGTCCAGAATGAACCGCAGGGGACTGGGAACAGACGGGAAACCCACCCAAGGGACTACATCCTTTCGACCATGCTCAAGCGCACCCACTCCGAGATGACCCGACAGCGCAGGAGAAGAGGCCTGCCCCACTAGCCCCAAACCCCCCGAAGGAGGATGGTACACCCAACGCCACCGCAGCCGTCGGAAACAACCTGAAGCCCACAAATCGTGAGACCAGGCATGAGCAAACAGCGCAAGACTCTTCCCCCCCCCCCTCCATCACCCTGTCAATGAGGCGAACTGCAAAAGGGCCAACGCCCCTTGTGAGAATCTGACGCACAGAGCGATCACCATGCCGACCAGACGAAGACGAGTCCAAAGGTGGCGTTGGCTCAAAAACAAGAAGAACCTTGAGCCCTGGCACGACCCTTCTGGGAGGAAGCCCCCCCCTCCCCCCAGGAACCCCGAAGAACCAACAAGTCTGACATCGGACAACAACTAGAACATGCTGCCTGCAGATACTGCCCGATCGCAGACTGCAAACAGCAAGGGACAAAAGGGTAACGAAACTTAAGAGAGAGCCCAAGCAGATTCCGATGAGGAAGCGAGCACCACCTGCCGACAGGCGAGACGCAAAGCGAAAAACAACAAAATGCATCCCGCAGAATCGGCGCAAATAGTTTCAACAGCGCAGACGATGCACGCGCCGCCAAGACCAAAGCACCAGACCCAGGAACAGTCCCAAGCGCTTCCACATCCTCCTCAACCCAATCCGAAGACAGCTCCAGGGAGGGGTGCCAGACTCGGTTGATGCCAGAGATATAATGCTCCATTACCACATGTGCAGTTCTATAGGCCATTGCTCCTCGTGCCTCTCTGAGGGAGCCTGGTTCTGGCTCATGGTCCCCAGTACACCTACGAACATCATTTACACTGATGCCAAAATCTAATATATCCACATCAGCCTGGTTAGCT